CATTGTGATACATTTCATTACTTGATCAAAGGATGGAATATGTTCCACTGCTTCTGCTTGTATTTTTTTTATTAACAAATAGAGCCACACCGCCGCCCCGTTTGTGTTCTCTGTTTTTATAGAACATCTCCTAACCTTCAAATGTTAAATTAAAGTTGGAATTGCGATTTACCATGTCTCTGAAACCACTTTGACATTAAACGAGAAACTAAGATTGGCTAAACATTGACTGATATAATATAATATTGATATAATCTCTTCAAGCTTATTTAACAAAGGCATTTGTGTGTCTTCAAAGTACTTATAATTTGTTTTACTATGGTTATAATAAAACAAATTGTCAACAACTCAATGATCCAGAGATGCTAGCAAAAAAAGCTTTTGCTGTATTACGTCTACGTTCTTCTTCTGCGTATCCAGTTCAGTTTGTGGTCCTGAAGCGATAAACTGAAATTTGATTGCAGCCACATGTAAATAAAGGAATAAATGAACTATGCAAAAAATATATTTCAGGAAACAAGTCTGTGCAATAAAAAGGTTAACTGAGTTTAACAGTTTTTAAACTCCAATAATTAATTAAACGCACTGTATTTTTGACTAAAATCTTTTAATAGGTGTTACAGGATTCACTCTCACACGTCATGGCTAGCTGTGCTTTTATTGCTGATTTTACTCATCTGTGGTCTTTTAGGTCTGCTTTCCTCCCTTCATCAGTTTAACTTTGCAATGCACAGCAGGGAAACATGTTTTTACGAGCTCTGTGAATCCTTAGAGACTTTCTGACTTTGATCCACTTATAACTTTCAGAAAAACGCTTTGCTATGTGTTAAAAGTTAGCAATGCCTTAAAAAAGGTTTTAAAGATCTTAGCAACTATTGATCAAGTTCTAAAAAAAAAAAGAAAATTAAAAAAAAGAAAATTAAAAACAATCCACTGGACTTTGTTTCCAACTTTGAAGACGTTTCTTTACCCATCCTGGAAGCTTTTTTTAAAATCGAGGTTTGGAAAAGCTTCCTGGATGGGAAACCAAATGTCTTCAAACTTGGAAACAAAGTCCAGTGGATTGTTTTTAATTTTCTTTTTATGGAACGACTATGACCTGGATGACTGAGAAGCTTCACCAGCAGATTGATCAAGTAAGCTTATAAAACATACAGTATAACTGAACATAAAAGCAAGCAGAGTTTAAATAAGAAAGTGGTTTAAAACTTTTCTAAGGTGCTTTATGATCCTTCAAAAATACCTGTGTGCTATAGGAGTCAATTCTGCCTTAAAATTCTCTACAGCGTGAAAACACGTCAGTCTTTCAGTGCCTCTGATACACACACAATGCAGTAAAGCTCATTAGTTTCAATCCATGGTGGTATGCGAGGCGGCACGAACCGGATCCTCAGCTGCTTGTCAGAAAGTTTCGGGGTTCATTTGAAGTTTGCTTTTGTTTCTGCAGCTCCAACGTTTCTGTGGCATGTTGGTGGATTTATCTGTTGAAGTCTAAGATGATGGTTCTCACCTCAATGTGTTTGGATTTTCCAAAACAGTTCACACAAAACAGGGGAAATTTGGCATGTTGTGAGAATGTCTGACTGTGGTGAAAGATGTAGCCTGATAAGACCGAACAAATGTCAGTCTGGAGATGTCTGGATCAACACACTTCAGATTTTTTTTTAATGGAACCTCAGTTTTAATAAAACACCTGACAAAACACAGCTGTTTCTAACACAGTGAGCATGAGAGACACAAAGAAAAAAAATAAGGAGCACATAGACATTGTAAAAGTATTTAGAATTTATTTAAGATACAACCACAAATTCAGATGTGAAAAAGCAAAACAACGTAGAAAGTGATGAAAGCAGAATGGAAATGATTTATGTTTAAAAATTTAAAATAACAATCTGAAAAAGTCCTAAATTCCACTTCTGTGTCACTCATTTGTAGCTACTATTTATGGAAATTTGCACCATTACAGGAGATCCTACCCACCTGATGACTTCAACAACAACTTGTTAAAAGAAACTTAAGAGTTACAATAATTGTTTTACAGTTTGGTTGAATAAAGTGTTTTTTTTTACCGTTGAATTAAATTAAAATGGATATCTGGGAACTGAATTATTTGTTCCATTTCCAGCTAAAGATGGTTTAAAATGATTCATGACCATAGATGGCAAAAGTACTCACTTTCCGTACTTGAGTAAAAGTACAGATACTTGTTTTAAAAAATACTCTGGTAAAAGTGGAAGTACTGATTAAACTTCTTTACTCAAGTAAAAGTAACAAAGTACAGGCTTGTAAATTTACTTTAAGTATAAAAGTAAAAGTAGAAATCACTTTTTTCATGCCGTTGCCTACATTTTAAATGGATGTCTGCCAATAGGACTAGATCTCCGTTGTGTTCATTTTCAATCATCTTGTCGTCCATACTACTATGCTAACGCCACCGCCACCAAGCTGCAATGATTTGCCGTGAATGAATACCGCCGAATCTGTCGATTCATCTTGTAGTGGTGCGTCAAATGCAACGTAGATTCCCATCCAATTAGATTGAATTTGGTATTGATGACGTGAAAAATGATAACGGTAACTCCATTGAAATTATTCAAAACTAAAGTAACGAGCCAATTTTTTAGAAATGTAAGGAGTATAAAGTACAGATATTTGTGTAAAAATGTAAGGAGTAGAAAGTACAGATATTTGTGTAAAAATGTAAGGAGTAGAAGTAAAAAGTCGCCATAAAAATAAGTAGTAAAGTAAAGTAAAAATATCAGAAAAATCTACTTGAGTACAGTAACGAAGTATTTGTACTTTGTTACTTCCCATCTCTGTTCATGACCATTTGTGCTGGTGAAGATTGACAGTCATCCAGGTCATTGTCAGTCCAAAAAAGTAAAAAAAAAAAACAATCCACTGGACTTTGTTTCCAAGTTTGAAGATGTTTTGCTTCCCATCCAGGAAGCTTTTTCAATTCAACATTTCAGAATTAGTGTTGAGTTCGAGGCTATATAGAATGGACGAAAACAAATCCTTGTTTTGGCTTAGAAAACATGCAAATTAAACCGGACAAACGGGTCCGCCCCTTAGGAATGGATATTGCAGCCTAACAAATAACCCAAACGACCCCCATTTCAAAGGGTGGACCTTTTCGTTCGGTTCAATTTGCATGTTTTCTTAGCAAAACAAAGCTTTATTTTGGTCCACTGTATAAAGCCTCAAACTCAACGCTAATTCTGACATTTTGAATTGAAAAAGCTTCCTGGATGGGAAGCGAAACATCTTCAAACTTGGAAACAAAGTCCAGTGAATTATTCCATAACTTTTTGGTAGGTCCATATGTGAAAAGTAATACTCAAGTAACAGATTGACTGGATTAGTCTAGGCTTTGACTGGGTGATATATACACATTTACATTCTTTTTTCATTTACACCAGTGGTGTCCAGCATCAGTCCTAAAGTAATAATGTATATTTGAAATGAGCAAGTCCTTAGCATCCTGAAGGACTGATATTGGAACAGGTTCAATATAGCTCTAACTCTAAGTGCAGGGTGGTTATCCCACTGGAATGTGAATATCTGTCCCCAATCTAAAGTCTTTTGTATCCACCAACGTATTTTTCTTCAGGATTACTCAGTATCTGACTACCTTCATCTTTCCAGCAACTCTGATAAAATTCTCTACTACTGCAGAGAAAACTGCAAACTGTTTGACATGCAGTTAACTTTCTTTTGCTGTTTTTATTTCCCAGATTTGTGAAGCATTACATAAGCAGTTGTCCTACCAACAGATTTGAGCTTGGTATCCATTTCTAATTCACAAATATGCTCTACTTGATTTGGACAATCAATACAACACAAAAGACAAGACTTTTTGTGGTAATAACAAAAATAACTAAAGGAGAAAAGTTGACATTGTTGTTGGAAGAGATTCAGAAGATAGATGGATGGATTCAAGACTTCAACATTTGCTTTTACCTCAAACAGCTGAGTTTCTGCTTTTCAGACCAGCAGCGAACTAATTAAAACGTTGAAAGTTATCAACCACTTGGCTTTGTTGGTAAAAAAAAAGACAAATATTATGTCACACTTTAGACTGCAGTCTCTATAGAGTTTAATACATTTTTATGCTGGTAATTACAACTTTTAGCATCAACATCTTTTTTATATATGTGAATATAATCTGTGAGCTGTGGAGTTGCTTGCTTTGAGTTTCCACGCTCTCTTCGTCTCTTCTATGTAGGGCAGCCCGTGGATCAGCTGACATCCCCATCCTCCCACATGCCCACACAATCTTGTTAAAGCATGCAGTTAATCTGAAGAGGAGAAGGACTCTCTTCTCAAGCAAACCGTGCTTTCATCAACCCATTGTGTTGCCTACATGGGGCTGTCACATGAACATCGGATTCTCCCAAAACCCTAGCGCCTATAGGACAAGCTGTGGCCCCAAAATGGCCCCCGTGTGATGTAACTCCTCTATTAGTGACTTTATAAACTGATCTCTGTTCTATGAGGCATATTTCTATGGGGGGGACTGCTGTCTAAGAGGAGACTCTCCATTATTATTTTCTTCTACTACTTTTAAAAGATGGCTCTCCCATTAATTATTCAGACCGTTGCAAAAACACGGTAATGCTCTCAAAAAAACAACCTTTAGAGATCACCTAGAGTTATTGTTTTAGAAAATCTCATAAGCTGAGCATTTTTACAGGAATCCTATATTTATCATGATCTAACTTCCAAGAATTCAGACTCCTTTGTGTTTATCATGAAATCTAAAATACTTGTAGAAAAAAGTGAAATTCTGAACTTTTTTAAGACACTGCAGGAACCCTGCTATGCTGTTTTATTCAGTTAAAAAGCAGAAGCAACGTCTACATGACAAAAGAAGAATATATTGAAGGAAAAGAAAAAACAGTGAAGAAAGGAAAGGACTTTTGACTTTTAATACTTTATTTACACAATTAAAAACATATAAACAATTGATGTAAAACAAGTGTCAGCTAATGATCACTACTAAGGTAAAAACAAGTGTAAGCAAAAAAATCGATAAATGAGGAGCTTGTTAAACTTAGATCTCCTTCTTCTGACACAGTAAGTAAAATGTTGTAAAAACCCCACAACTGAATAAAATCCCCCACGTTCTGTGTGGCCCTGTGGAAGTAAAACTCCAGTCTTAGCCAAGGAAAGGAAGGGAGGAAGAAAAGACACAAAAAAAAGAATGAAAAGAAATTAACATTGAGGAAAGGTAGATCAAGATAGTAACCATAACAAAGTAAAAATTCAGAACTTAATTGTTTTCCAGGCTTTTCTGGAGTGGTTTGGAACCTTGCCTTCACATCACTCTGTTCTCTTCTTTTTCTCTGCTCTAAACAAGAGGTAACGCAGCCCAAGCTCCTACAGGAGCCTGAGCTCCTGTCATTACAATGAAGGCTGGTTGAAGTGCAGCTATTTAATGGACAATGATACAGGTCTGTCTCAGTAAGACCCCTGATTGAAATGCCACTCGCTGCCATTGCTGCTCTTCTGTTGCTGCCTACCTCGACACCTAAGCAGAAGCTCAACAAAGCAGGGTCATCCATGAATTCAGCAGGGCTGCATCCGAGCCCCCATGTGACAGGAGAGTTATTGTGTGAATTGAGACGCTGAGAGGAGGGGTCGTTTGTCCCCACCTTTAAGTAGCTCGAAACCTTGAGACCCTGGGCTTCAGATCAAACACCCCCCCTCCCTGTTCTCACTTGCTATTTAAGAGCCTCTTGCTTTTGTGGTCATGTGGAGGAATCTCTCAGAAGCACCTTTCTGACTTTAAAAAGAAAGCAAGTGAGAGCAAATCTCACATAATCACAAGTGTGCTTTTTCAGCCATTATGAAAATGCAGTGAGTTCTGAAGCCGGCTGCGGTGAGCTGATTGTGCTCAGGAGGAAAATAACCTGAGAGTGAGTAGCAGACCTCTTCACTCGCCTCCCGCTTATCAGGATGTGTCTTTAAAATGACTACATTTGATTAGTAATTGCAAAACAGCTGTCTGAAGGTACTAAATCTATTTCTAATTACTAGAGTACTACTAGAGTTGCAACACTCGCTGATTTTGATCTTGTAAACAACACCCATAGAGGAGGTTTTTCCTCCCAAAACAGAAAAAAAAAACTTGCAGCTCAAAAACATTCAAGCTTCTCTCTCCATGCAAATCTCATGTATGTTTCAGGGATGTGTGTGTATCTCAGTTGTCTTAGCAACACTGCCATCTCATGGCAAGCAAATAAACAGCCATGTGCTGTTTCATTTATTTATTTATATAAAGGCCTTTATTAGAAAAAGTTTATTAACTAATAAGAAACACATTTGTGAAATGTCACCCCTCATGCTTATTAGCTCCTTATTTGATATAGAAATTTTTCTTATTGCTTACAAAGATATTAATCAAACCCTTCTACTTCTTTTGCAATTAGGAAAAAGTTAAAAGCAAAACAAATAACAGTTGTTTTGGTATTACTAACTGCTTAATGTGACTGAAAAACTGACAGTGCTGAGGTCAGAATGTTCAAGGTTTTTCTTAAGTTTTATCAAAGACAGCTTTTTCTCTTTTTTTTTTTGTGGGGACATACTCTTCCTTTGTGCTTTATATCTTGTTACTAAACCTCCAGAGAGCAAAGACCGTCTCAGAATGAGGCTGAGATCTAAGAGATGGTAGCTGCATTCAGCTTTAGTCTTGGTGAGTGAACACAGTTTCTCTTCCCTCCCAAGAGGTCAAAGTCACCCTCCTGCGAGTTTTGCACCCTTTTCTTTACATGGACGCTTTGCGCTCTTCCCCTCCGTCTGGTCCCATTTCCATGTCCATACGACAGCTCTGCTCTGCTCTTTGCCTCTGTTTACCATTCTCTTGTTCAGCCTCCTCTGTGTTACTACCCCTAAGGGTTTGACTGTAGGTCTCCAGAGGCCCACACCTGTCAAACACTGAGTCTTGTACCTGCTGTTCAAAATGCACCACAAAGATCCTGTAAAGCTCCAAAAGGACAATAAGTATGTTCTTGCAGGTGAAGAAAATCATCAGCTGGTTCTGCACCTTCTCTTTTATCATGAGGTATAGGCGATAAACCAGGAACGGGGCATCCTGTAGTCCTACAGTGAGCAACAAACTCCAGATCTCATTGGAGCAGCAAGAGGGGGGTGAGGAGGAAGCTCCATGACAGCAGGGGAGGTTATTCCAGCTCCTCTTAGGAAGCTCACCCTGTGAGGCCTGCGTCTGGGTGAGAACCAGAGGAAACTGCATAAGCGCCCAAGAGAAGAGGGCAAGCCCAATGATGACGACCGTCCTGTTAGTTTTAACTTGAGGTTCCTTGAAGGTGTCAAAGATGTCTAGGATGTCAGCACCCAGTCCAACATAAACCATGAGGAGCTGTGAAAGCTGGTCCCGTGACATGTCCCCTTTTGGCATCAGCCAACGACCCAGAACCAGTACAATAAGCATGGTCTGCTCCAGTCCTTCTACCCAGTTCTCTGGTTCAAGGTCCTCAATGCCCTGTGTGATAAGAACAGCAAAGTAGAGTTTATAAAAAAAAAAAAATCATTGATACAGTTAAGAACTTATGGAAGTCTGTATCTGTATAAGTGGAGCCGGTGAGTGAACACATGGTGCAAAAACAGCCATTCATCTTGAACCTTTAGTGGCTGTAAAACAATGAAAACTTAACAGAGTCTATAATTCTAACAGAAATAAAAAAGTTAAATGTTTTCTTATTTTCTTTTTAGGAAAAAACTTTAAACAATGCAGCACACATATATATATATATATATATTCCTAAATTGGGTCTCTTTAAATCCAATTTTCCCTGCTGTAGCCTATTTCTCAAACAGTCAGACTGGATATAGGCTGGCTGCAAACAGCTTTTTCCGTATCTTGCCACCAATCATCCTCTATATTATATATATAAGTATCAAATTTAACTGGATGGTTTAAACACATAGGTTTGCTTTGATATAAACCATTCACACTAACTCTGGCTAAATATTCAGGATTGTTTCCTGGCTTAAAGGTTTGTTCTTGTGAGGAGGGAGAGGAGGAGTTCATTTTTCTTCTGAGTAAATTATGTTTCACCAAAGCCAGAACGTTTAATTTCTGTCTGGTCTGATCAGATTACCTGCTTTCACATGTTTCCTATATGCTACATGAATTCCAACTGCATTCTTTCTTCAATGCCTCTCTGTTTTACCACTCTTCCAAAAAGAAAAATAACCGTCTCCTCAACCTGAGCTGTGAATCTCTACAGCTTCTGAGGTTTTCTGGCTACTTCACTAATTAGTGCTCTCCTTATCCAGCCTGATATGGACGGCCATTTTTTTGGTTGCTTTGCAGTTCAGCCATGTTCTTTCCATTTTCGACAGACTGAACAGTGCTATATCAGCAGAGCTCAGAAGATTAACCATGCTTCAAACTTTCCCACAACTTTATTCCAAAACCGTTCAGTTCATCCTTTGGTTTTCACAGTCCTTTGAAAACCACCAATCTTTTCACCTTCACCAATCTGTTTTGCACTACTTTGTGTTGGTTTGTTACATCAATGAATTTGTTTAAATCTGTACTAGATCTTAAGAAAATGTAGAAATATCTCTGCCCACAGGAGCAAACAGTCCAATCAATGTAACAATAAACAGGATCTATTCTTTCTGTTTTTCCATCCATTTTCTGTCACGCTTATCCCAAGCGGGGTCTTGTGTTGTGCTGGTGCCTATTTCCAGGTGTCTACAGGCGAGAGGCGGGGTACACCCTGGTCAGGTCAACAGTCTATTGCAGGGCTCTTTCTGTTCTTGATATATTAAAAAACAAATGTTTAATTCAGCCTCCTAATTAGAGGAGTTTTCTAACTATAAATTGTTGTAATAACATTTAGAGTTTCCAACTTTGAAGAAAGAATGCCTTCAGTTTTCATGTCCTTCTGCCCAAAGTGGGGCAAAAAAAAAGCTTCCAAATCCTACATCAAAGAAAACGCCACTAAAACCCCCCCACAAGGGAGATCTGAGCTTTTTTTTCTTTCATGCAGTTCCCTATCGAGGAGTTATCTCAGTGCGTCTGTTACACTTTTTCTGCCACTAATAGTTTATCCGCCTTCTTTCCTGATTTATATCTTATCTATTATCAGATGTCGCTTTAATGTTGCCACATGGGGTGCCAAGCAGCCGGGGTGGATTTGTGACGGGATTGTTACCTTTGTGATGGGGATGTGGGCCAGCAAATGAAGCTCGTGGCTGGAGGAATTGTTGAGGGGCAGCATGGACTGTAATAGGCTCAGCTCCAGAAACCAAATGGATGGGATGACAGTACTGAGGTAGAGGAAAACCATAGGGGAGAACCTAAAAGAGGAACACCGAAGAAGAGGAACGTTGGGTTAAGAAGGTGATAACGGATATTTTTAGTCACATCCTTTTTCTTTTTTTTTTGGTCCCTTTTTTTTAAACCTACTAAACAAGAAAGGGTTCCTTTTTTTTCCCAAAAGAAGCATCGCATTTCAGACAGGCAATTATTCTCATCATATATGCAAATCCCACTTGACAGTGCAAAGCCTTCATGAGGAAAAAGCTTCAAAGTAGGAATCAGTGCGAAAAGCAGAGGCCTGAAGAAAGCTCATGTCTGGGGATGTTCAGCCTGGATGTGCCTAAAAGCTACAGCTTTTGAATGAAATGCAGCCTGCTTTTGAATGAGGTGTGACACTCGATCCTCATATCTATTTGAGGCTCACGCTAAAAGGGTTAAGCCATTTTATATTTATTCAGACCTGTTTTATAAATATATATCTGTGAATATGTATTTACCTGACCCATTCAGTGATGCCCGTCTGTGCGAATGCACAAACGGACCAGGTTTTGACAGATGGCCCCACAATATTGGCTCAGTGGAAAACAATGCCACTAACAAAGGGATTTATTTTTGATAGACAGCAGAGGAGAGAAAAAAAAAACTGCTGGAAAAAAAGGAAAATAATTCAGCCTTTTCTCCTGGCCCACAGCAGTTGGATTGCAAATTGTTCACAGCCAAAAATTTTTAGTTTTCATTTATTTCCAACATAAAGCACATTACAGAGGATGCCTCAAACCTCACGTCAAGACAACTACGTAAGCGCTTTGGTTTGTTCCTACTAATTTATCCCTCAGATTCAGAGAAGGGGGTTTTATGTCATTAAACTCATGCTGGTCCAAAATGTGCTTTCTTATTTCATAAGTCCAAAGAGTCTGGTTTAATATTTGTGGATTTTAGACTAATGTTTGGTGAAGACAGTTAACACTTCTAAGACAACTCTTTAGTTTGCAGTTGTGTGCAGAAAGACATTTACTAAATTAACTAATTTATTTACTTCCTTTGAATTCTTTTGTCCTTCATCACAACACTAAAGTGTCCAGATGTTCCTACTTTTTATTCACTAAGTTTATATTTACTCTGACACCTTTTTCAGCGAATTTATAATAATGAGAATTACTTTTTTATCTTTAACAGTTAAAGTTTTGAAGCAAACATAGCACTATAGATATTTACATAAATGATAGAGAATAATGAACACAAAAAGCACAATAGATTGGAAATAAGCAGTTAGCAAACATTTCAGTTTTGCCTTTTGTCAGTTCTCCTCTTTTTAGGAATATGCTGGACCATAGCTACTTTACCTCCATGAAATGACAGGAAGAAATTCTGCCAGAAGTTTTACTAATTTTATAAATGTGACAGTTTAATTTATAGCATGTGACCCAGGGCACTGATATATACCAGCTATGTGGCCCTGCAATGCATTACAAGTTACAGAAAAAAATCAACAGAGAAATGACTGGTTTTATATTGAATATACTTTTTTTTAGAGAGAAATATAATTTTTGTGAGAAATATGATTTTTTTTTAGAGAGAAAGCTGAAAAGTGTGGTGCTATCTGTTCCTCAGCACAAAGCTCTAGACACCGTCTGTAAACTTTAATGCTGCAATCCAGCTTCTGTTCCTTATCATTTTATCAGAAATCTGTTAGAGATAACTTTGCACAAATCTTCAACACAGTGAAAAAAGGCTCAAGAACCAGTTCAGCTCGTGGAATGTTTTTAATTAACCTTGGAAAAACCATACTAGGGTTGATACAAAAACACAGAGCGCCTGCATCTTGTTCAATGACATGGGCCCCCTTTGGCATCTAATGCTACGTTCACACCGCAAGCAGCAGAAGCCGCAAAAACATGCATGCTTCTTCATTTTTGATGATTGTAAAAGTTTTTAATTCTGACAAGCGGCTAAAGCATCTTTGCTGCTGTAGCTGTGTGGTCAAAAAGTGGATCTGATGCGCGTTGGATGGAGCTACCCTATCCTTTCTTTGCCTGTAACAATGGCAGCTATATTTGCTGTGATCAGTGGGTAAAAAGTAGTTTAAATTTTTTTTAGTGAGAAAGACCACCTGAAAACTTGTTCAGGTGGAAATCTGTGCAGTCAGTTCGAGATTACGATCCTTCCTTTAAATATTATTTTGCTGTCGGAGACGCTCAGACCCCCATACACCGGCGGTGCGCTATCCCTAGGAATCCCGTTCAACAGCAGCCTCTGATCTGCTTGCTTCCTCGCAGTTTGCCACTACTTTTCTCGGCGGCTGGAAGTAGATGTTAGCGTTTTTCACATACATAATCCAAACTGCAGGCACCAGGATAATAAAAGCGAACATGTTTTGCTGGCAGATTTCAGCCTTTTAAGTTAATTTAGATGTTAATAAATTGTTTCAGAGGAGTGATCATAGCGATCGATCTGCACAAGCAGGGCTGTGTCTGTCTCCCTGCCAGCTCCCAAATCAGCTTCTCTGATTGGTTGTTGCAGCACATCAAGCAGCAAAAGTTCAACTCCAGCAACTACTGCTTTCACAGCAAGTCCCGCACTTCAGATGCTCAGAAGCTTGTGAGGCATTGCTTCAGCTGCTCAGACGCACTGCTCCTGCTGCTCAAACCACGCTGCAGGATCTTTTGCTGTACCTTGATACACGTCAACCATTGTATTTGCATTTTAACTAGCTGCGTCTGCTGCGTCTGCTGCGTCTGCTGCGTCTGCTGCTTTAGGTGTGAACGAAGCATAATATATGTTTTTGCTGTCTGGTCTACAGACATTTTTTCATAGTTCTGGTCCCATGCAAGTTGATGATCTTCTCTCCCTAGTGGTCTGAAGTATTGTTGTTATGCAGAGCTAGTTTGCATTAATAGTTTTTTGTTTGATTTTACTTGCAGATGTTCGTAATAGTTACAACGTGTTTCTTTTTATGAGCTGTGTGTGTTTGTATGTTAACATCATTTAAGTGTTTGCAGCAGGTTTTGTCTTCCTTATGTACTTTCTACATTTCTGCTCTCAATTTTCAGTCATTGTAGCCTTTCCTAATTTGCTGTTATTTTTCACTACATGCGGCATTTTTTTTGCATGTATTTAGTTTTTTTGTTTCAATTATGTTTTTGTTTTGTTTTTTTGTATTTTTCTGTTTGCTAGTCCCATTTTTTTATTTTCTATGAAATCATCATGTATCTACTTGCACTCTCAGCCACAGTATGATGGTCACCTACAGCTCACTGCTTAGTTAGAAAAGCTCCAAACACGTATTTACCTACAAGCCTCTCATGCGACGGCTCTCACTGCTGGTATTGATCTACTTTGTTTATCTTGGCTTTCTTCATATTGTTATCAGACTATTAAAATCAATAACTAAATAATAAAGTTGTACGAGGCATTGTTTTCTAAAGCTTCACCACATCTGATTTTGAAATAAACAGATTTTATTGGATTAAGAGAGACATTACCATTTCCACTCCGCATTGCTGGTACATTTGAGGGTGAGGGCCATTTCCACTCCCAGCAGAGCCACACCCAAAACCAGCAGCCAATAGAGAGGCTCCCCTTTAACAACCACCACTCGCCACACCGTCACAACCCCATGGATGGCGAACAGGAAGCGGCTAAGGAGTGCCAGCAAGATATTCAGGTAGCGACACATCATGAGGCGCGAAATCCCTGCACAGAAATTCGCTGTAAAAGGTGTGATAATTTCCACTTGTTGTTAAAAACAAAAAGTGTAATACACACTCAGAGCTTTGTATGTTTGATTACCAGTGCATCTCATCAGTTTACTCAGCCTTGTCTTTAGCTGTAGGATATTACATTAATGAGATGTGCACAGTGTAGTTTAAATAACAGAACTTTTAAAGCAGATGAGTTTTTAATTGTCTTTGACATTTTTTAATTAAAAAAGTAAATAGATCAAAATGCAACAAAAAATAGTTCACTGATCTTTTTAATAAATTTTGGAAGTTGTTTGGTTGTTTTTTTTTTTTTTTAGGAAAGAGCAGCTTCTTTTTAAAAAAAAAAAGGTCTGCAAAAGTGCAAGTCTCTACTATAGCAGCTTTCATTATGCCTGTTTTCTAAGTAAAAATTTTGTATAGAAGCAAGAAACACTAAACGACATTTCAGTTCAGAAACCAGTTCAGCCTTCATGATTTGTAACTGTTGGATGAGGCTTCAGTGTATAAACAGCCCTTGCTGTCAAGATAAAAGCCCCAGATCATTGGGGGGATTCACAGCGAGCTCCGATTAGTAATCAGGAGATAAACAAACGGATCTACAGTCAATATTAAATGACTCGTGGGTCTTTCCTCTGGTCTTATGATTTACTGACTTGAAACCTGTGCCAAAAAGAAGTCATCCTGGATGTCATCTTATTTGCATGTTTGCATAACCTGGTTTAATTCAAGATGAGAGAACCCGTCTGTCCCTCATAAATCTGTATGTTTCACTCAAGATCAACTAATTTCTAAGGAACATGTCTCCATTTTGGCTGGTTTTTATTTTCATGTTTGTTTTTCTTAGTTTTTATTTAGAAAATGTTTTATTTTTTTATTTTTTTCTAAAACTGTTTCTAAAGTCATAAAAATTTTATTTTATCTGAAGCATTTTACTTTCATTGTTCCTTATGTTGCCCCAAATATACTAATTGCTCTATATGTGACAATATGTTGCGCACTCTTAGAAATGCTTTTTAAAGCAAACAGAACCATAAAGGAACCTTATAATGGGAGAATTCCCTTGAACGCTGGTTCGCTGCTTATAGCCTTTATACTTAGGATGCCCCATATGTTTTCTGAAATATGGGGGAAGATCTTTCCGTCTGTTTCCCTCAAATACATTTTAATACCTTTAATTTTCAGTTCCTAATATATTGTTACTAAAATAACTAATCAACTAAGATAACAGTCAGTATGTAGTAAGTAGTTTGATATTCTGAAATAATATTCTAGTGAAAATGCGTTTAAAGTTCACATCTTTGCACATCGTTGAATATAAATATTAAAGCTTCTACTTTTTTAGGACTTATATTTTGAACCAACTTCTGTTTAAACTGTTTTTATACATAGTTTGATTTTTGTTACTTTGGCACAAGATTTTCAAAAGTTTTGATAAATTGTAAACATAGCAAGGAAAAATCTTTATTCAGATTTGTTATAATCTAATCCCTCCCCTAAAATGGATCTCAAACTGTGATCCAATAAGATTTTTTAATATTGGGCAAGCTGCAAAATAAATAGAAAATCCCTAATTTCCCTGAAGATACCTAACACTGCTATGTTAAAGGATTTCCCACAAATGTACTACTCAAAAATATTAAATTAACACATGTACATTTTTTACAATCATCCTTCTCTACTCACTTAATTACACATGACTTTAAGGTTAATATGCATCTTTTAGTTGTATTTATCAGCTAAATGTTAGTGAATATAGTGAATATTTGCATGCAGCGCAGACCTGGAGCTGGACTCTCAGTTGATCAACTTCCTCTGCCTTTTCCAGAAAGTCGCAAATCCTCTGAAGTAGTAAAAGTGATAGTCACAGACAGTGACCTGGCTTCTATCTATCTTGTTTAGCCACCTCCTCCAGCTGCGGGCAGAGACACCATGTAAGATGTGTGTGCGTGTTTAGTGGGAAGTGACTGCCATTCAAGTGAAGTATCAGTGGGCTGTAGTGGGATTCACAAGTGTTTGTGAGGCCACCTTGACTCACTCCCCACCCATCTTCTCCATGGCGCCATTGTATAAGATAAGGCTTCCTGCCTGCTGCACCAACATCTTCCTTACCATTCATCATGATGTCATCTCAAGTGGCCCAGAACAAAGTTATCAGCTTGGGAGAAACCGTCCTGTCGGGCTTCCCTGCCCTGCTGCCACCCAGCCTGATCTGCCCACGCTTGGTCTGATAACGGTTTGAGTTCTGCACACAGGAATAATGTTGTGATGGTTCAGCTGTTGCTTTGGAAGAAAGATGCAGGTATGTTCTATAGCAGGGGTAACCGTTTAAAAATCAGTGGGGTCCGAATAAATAAAATCATCAACCAGTAAGGGTCTGGAGAAATGTTTAATTATAACCTGTTACTTTAAACAGAATCTAACACTGAAATAAAATTAGGTTTTTATGCATCCATGTTATAGATTGACTTTTTATATTAAAAAAAAACAGAAAACTTTTACATTTTAAAATCTAAAGTGTTATTTTAAGTAGAGAACAGCAATCGTTCAGTTTGGTATAAAGAAAATTTCCTGATTTACATATTTTATAAAACGCCTGAACTGACCGTTTATTTTTTCTCTTTCTTTTTTATGGCTTAATAAGAGTAGTAGGCTTTATGCTGCCCTGCAAGGCTTTAAACCTCGGTTTGAATGGTAACAAAGCCATTCTCAAGCACATATCAACATGCTCATTCGTGAGCCTGGATCGATATTTATTTTTGATTATGTTCATGGTGGAGAATCCTGCTTCACAGCAGTAGATTGAGCCAAACATACTCAAAATGTGCAGCTTCATCTTTGAGCACGCCATTTCACTTTTCTGTCACCAGTTCACCACAGTTCTTCCAGGAGTCCACACTTTCTCTGCTCTTTTTTTCTCATCATCTTCTCCTTCTTTCCCATCGCCCGGCTTGCCACAGGTTTGCCTGCTGTATCTAAAAGTAGCAGCAGCAGCAACCCAGACTGACAGCAGCTCATTGGCTAATTTGTATCACGTGCAGCCTGGTCCTAGAGGGCTTTACCGTACAAACAGGAGAAGCGACGCAAGTGAAATTGGACAATGTCATCAGACAACATGTGGTAATTTATAAATGTTTTCAATCAGGTTGGGTCCGGATTAGCCAGCAGGGGGGTCCGGATCTGGACCGCGGTCCGCTTATCCGTTAGCTCTGTTCTATAGGAAAGGCAGCCACCAACAATGCAAAGATGTTGTGTAATTTTTTATGTATAAGGTTAAACATTGATATGTTCTACTGTTTCTCCTTTTGCTTGTCTACCAGTCACCTATATTCCCAACTCCACTACTTCCTGAACTTCAACTAACTCCTTTGTTTCCTATGTTTCATTAATCTGGGTTTCTCTGGCCAATGTCTCCATGGTTACTGAGGTCAGACACATCTGGATTAATCAGTCTGTCCAGTAATTAATGACAGAAAAGCAAAAGAGCTGTCTGAAGTTCAAGAAGCAGTAGCATATAGCCCCTTTAGAAACAACAAAGACCAGTAATAACAGAGCTCAAACTTTAACCATCTTTAAGGCTAAAATTAGCTCATCAATATGCTTCATTGTTCTTTGTGCTACATAGGTAGCAGGAAGAATGTAGGAATTGCTTTTGATATTGTTTTTCTTGATAAAATAGATTTTTATTTCTCCAAATGAGTTCTGAAGAAATCAAGACTTTCATGGTTTTGGTTCTGTTTAAGTTTTCTCTTTGAGCTTTCATTGGTTTTTCTAGTTATTTTTTGATGTATTTGAGTTCCTATGTATTCCTTGTTTGCCCTCTGTTGCCCTCTTGTGTCAGTCTCCTTTCCCCTAGCTCCCTTCTAGATTCCTCTGTCCACAGATGCTCCCAATCTGCTGATTAGCCTGGTCTTTTTCTCTTTCTCCCATATACAGGTGCTGGTCATAAAATTAGAATATCATGAAAAAGTAGATTGATTTCAGTAATTCCATTTAAAAAGTGAAACTTGTATATTATATTCATACATTACATACAAACTCATATATTTCAGATGTTTATTTGGTTTAATTTTGATGATTACAAATGACAACAAATGAAAATCTCAAATTCATCATATCAGAAAATTAGAATATTACTGAAGACCAATAAAAACAAAGGATTTATAGAAATGTTGGCCAACTGAAAAGTATGAACATGAAAAGTATGAGCATGTACAGCACTCAGTATTTAGTTGGGCCTCCTTTGGCCTGTATTACTGCAGCAATGCGGCGTGGCATGGAGTCGATCAGTCTGTGGCACTGCTCAGGTGTTATGATAGCCCAGGTTGCTCTAATAGTGGCTTTTAGCTCTTCTGAATTGTTGGGTCTGGTGTATTGCATCTTCTTCTTCACAATACCCCATAGATTTTCTATGGGGTTAAGGTCAGGAGAGTTTGCTGGCCAATTAAGAACAGGGATACCATGGTCCTTCAACCAGGTACTGGTAGCTTTGGCACTGTGTGCAGGTGCCAAGTCCTGTTGGAAAATGAAATCTGCATCTCCAAAAAGTTGGTCAGCTGCAGGAAGCATGAAGTGCTCTAAAACTTCCTGGTATGTGGCTGCGTTGACCCTGGACCTCAGAAAACACAATGGACCAACACCAGCAGATGACATGGCACCCCAAACCATCACTGACTGTGGAAACTTTACACTGGACTTCAAGCAACGTGGATGAAGTGCCTCTCTTCTTTTCCTCCAGACTCTGGGACCTTGATTTCCAAAGGAAATGCAAAATTTACTTTCATCAGAGAACATGACTTTGGACCACTCACCAGCAGTCCAGTCCTGTTTCTCTTTAGCCCAGGCAAGACGCTTCTGACGCTGTCTGTGGTTCAAGAGTGGCTTGACACAAGGAATGCGACAGCAGAAACCCATGTCTTTCATACGTCTGTGTGTGGTGGTTCTTGAAGCACTCACTCCAGCTGCAGTCCACTCTTTGTGAATCTCCCCCACATTTTTGAATGGGTTTTGTTTCACAATCCTCTCC